AAGGGGAAGGGGAAGGGGAAGGGGAAGGGGATCAAATCATTGACTTGTTGGAAGTGGAAGGGGGTGGCCCTGAATCCTGCAGTGGGCCAATAGGAGCTCTACAGGTCACTGATCTTCCTTAGGCTCTCTTCCAGGCAAATCAGAATGTTCATATGGGGGGCTTGTTTCATTTTCCCTTTGAGAACACTACTTTCCTGCCAGATCCCCTTGATCGAGCTTCAGCTGTCCCAGCAGCAGAGTGACCCTGAGATGGAAGATCCATTGTGGGGATATGTCTTCCACAAATGATAAGCAGACCATTTTAGCACCAGGGCAAGAAGGGTGTGTAGATAGGCTCTTTGGAGAAGACTGAAGGCAGAATTCCTGGAACAAAAGCAGTTACAAATTGCTGGAGAGTTTGGGCACAAGTAGACTTTACCATCTCCCTTCAGTTTCTGATTTAAGCTTGGAATATCCAGAAAACCAAGTACAGGGAAAACTGAATCAAAAAGTAACTTTTAATTCAAGGAGTTTTTACTGCATTCTGCTAAGATTATTCTTTTGTTCTCTGTGTATTTAAGGTTCATTTCTTGTCTTTGATAATGCATGCCTTCTATCCTACATGCTCAGATCTTGTGTAACTGATGAAAATGGCACTTCTTTACATCAGAGTACAAACTGATACCTTCTTAGGGTTTGCTAAGGGAGATCTTTTTCAGGATTGCTATTTGCAGTATGGAACATCTTTATAGTTTTATCTCCCTCACTGATTTCTTTTGCATGGGAATAAACAAAAAGGAAGTTTGACTTTTTTAAAAATATTTTTTTTCTTATTTTAAATTATACTTGTGCCCCAATCTAACTTTCCAAAAGAGGGGAGCTGTTTATTCTAGCCACATGCCCCAAAGCTAGTAAAAGGGCCAGAAGGTGTCACTATAGAATTTATTTCATTATTTCATCTTCCTTCTGTTCTGACTCACTAGTAAGGCCATAAGCTGTAGGGCTCCACTCTTTTTTGCACACTGATATTGAGGACACCAGATAAAGGCATCCCCCAAGAAGATAGGTGGGGACAGTAGTAACTATCAAGAAGCTATGCCAAGGCAGAAAGGGGGGCCAGGGTATGTGAAAGCCAAAGGATCGGGGGCTGAGGCTTCCCACCTTTCATTCTATGGGCTCAGTGTTGTACTGCATGCAGTTTGTCCCTGGTTAAGCCACAGACTATTAGCAAATAAGGAGTGCCTCACCAATTTTTTTTTTTTTTTCTGTGTGTGTCTGTGTGCCTGTGAGTCAGTGTTGATTCCTGGAGACTGTCTGGACAAATTCCTACAGTTTTCTTGGCATGGTTTTTCAGAAGTGGTTTGCCATTGCCTCCTTCTTAGGAATGAGAGAGAATGACAGGCCAAGGTCACCCAGCTGGTTTCATGCCTAAGGCAGGACTAGAACTCAGTCTCTCAGTCTCTGGCCTGGTGCCTTAATCACTACACAAGACCAGCACTACACCTTATCAATATGTGATGGATTCAACGTGCCTCAGCACTTTATTTATTTCTTGGTTTGGATATCTCATAACAACTGATACCTGTAAAGGCATGATTTGTTCAATCATGCTTTACTGAATAAAATTAGCTACCTTTGTATAATATTATATGTATCACAAAGTATGAATTTATAATCACTGGCCTATTTCATAGTATTTCTTTTGGTTGGTTGTTTTTCCTCTTCACATATTATGCAAATTAAGCCATTGTGGTTAGTAAAGTAGGGTTTGTGGCTTAATGTAGGAAATGGGTAATCTTTTGATATCCAGAGCCTGCACTAGAGTTGGGAGTGGAAGGTGAGGGTCACAGTGGATGGAACATTGATGCAAATGGAGAAAGCTGTGGCAAACATGTGGGCAGATCTGTGATTTTTTCCATAGTTTTTTTTTGGGGGGGGTACTTAAATTGTTAAGCCTACTTCAGGGCATCAACACTATAGTTTTCATGCATTTTGTTTTTCAACCAGCACAAAATAAAGGCAGTAGTCCAAAGAGGGTCACAGGAAAGCAGTTTGGAAGTTGCCAATCACCATGTGTTGTCTTAATCAAATAAATTGTAGTTTATGTAACAAATCATGGTCAAATGAGTCATGGCTTAACACAATGCAGTCATTTTTTTTTTCCTGAAGAAAGGCTTCATGTGATTCTATTTCCCTCTGGACAGGGTGATTAGAGATTTTAAAACATATACTTTGCTTACCCAAAACAATAATTTGCTCATGAACATTGTGTAACACCTACTCAAATTCTGGAAACGAAGGACTTTATGGAAAGGATCTGGAAGAGATGGATGATTATTTTTATGCTTTGCAGTTTATTCCTGTGGTTCAGAATTTTAATCTGAATATGTTATCTGATTTTTCTCCCACAGGAAGCAATTCTTCAAGATCAGGAAAGGCTGAGAGATGAACAGCAAACTGTTCAACAGTGCAATCAGCAGCTCCTTTCTGTAGTGCAACAATTCAAAGGAATGTGAACCATTTGCTGAATAAAACCTGATCACACAACCCAGCACTTCTCAAACAGATGAACTCTTATGTATACTGGAACAAAGATCCTGCTACTCTATCAGTTAAAGCTTGATCTTGCTGAGGTTCACTGAACCCTAGGATGTTGGTTCAATTAAATTCCCACTTGCTTTAAAACACATTATAAAATTTTGATGCACCATTTTTTAAGAAACAGATATATAAAAGAGAGTGACTGAGGTGTTAAATAATGAGTAGAATAAATGTACTGAAATGCCGCTTATGTATTTTATAAAAGTTTGGATCATGTGCTCCTGTTCACAAGGACAGAGACATGTGTGGCACACTTAAAAGGGAGTGGAACTTCAGTAGTTCAGTCATGGCTTCCATCCTGGCTCCCCTGCTGATGCCCTGATTCTTCTTTTAAGACATGTTTAAAGAATATATTATCATTATTTAATAACCAAATGTCTGATGATCAGAGTAATGGAGCTAACATATTGCCATAGGGGTTAAAAATACGGGTATTGGGATTGAGTTCTTAATAGTATGTTACAATCCTCTTTCCCGCCCCCATCCCCATATATAGCTATTCAGGTGTCAGTCCCATTGAGATATCTCCAATGCTGCAGAATTATTACACATATCCTTATCATGTTATCATCACATTAATCAACTGAGGTAAAAAGATTGCTTTTCCTACTTTGCAGTTGAAAGTTAAAAATGAAGGGATAATGTTTTGACAAAATCCACCCTGTAAACAAGTGGCTAAATATGTACTTCAAGCCAGGTCACCTTGACTCTCCTGCATTTTGCTGTCCTTGCACTGGACCCATAGTGGCTTTTACTCCAGCCTCAAAAGGCAAGTATCTGAATCCAGTGCCTTTTGCTGGGTATAGAAGTTTGGATCCAAGGAACAAGATTGCTATCCTTGGCCATTTATCTAGGAGTAGGCATTTTGAAGTCAGTGGGACTTTTGAAACGCTGGTAGAAAATTTCACTGTAAAAAATCTCAGTGTTATGTCATCAGCCTCCTTCTGAGAAATAAGTCCAGGGTCCATTAAGAAAAGAGACGAAAAGAGAGACTAGAAATCTACATTTATCAGGAACAACCTGGTTGTAGAAACTGAGCTGAACAAATGTCATTTGTTCTAGGCATCAGATCACCCTGGAAGCCCAGCAATACCTACATCATTTTGTCATCTTCAGAACAGCAAACTAGTTTTAACTTCTTGTCATCCCCCAAGCAGAAAAGCAACTCAAAATACTTTTTTTAGTTCATACATCACCATACAACCATAATCTGATTTGTGTGGGCTGCCAGTGATGAGTGAACTGAATCATTGTGGTTTATTAGCCCTGGTTTATAGCTTAGTATTATATGTGAGCTAGGCCAATATAGCCATGAAAACATGGCTTAATGTGTCTGGTAACTCTCCTCTATTTTGACCAAAACTAAACAAGGTAGGTTATTTGTTACTTAGGATGTTCTGAAAACAAAACCTGCACTCTTGAAGTAGTTTCTCCAAAGTTACCTTATTGCCAATTTCTGTAGAACCATTCTGCATAATGTAAAAGATGGTTTTGTGGATGGATGGATGGATGGATGGATGGATGGATGGATGATAGGGCTAGGAAGTATTTCAAATCTGATCTCCAAAAATACTTTAGAAGATACACAATCATGAATGAGTCACCTGTCTGCAATACCTTAAAGGTGCAGTTTTAGCACTGCACAGCCCTAATACAGTGTTCAAATTGCTAAGTGGGGGGGAAAGGTATATTTTGGAATAGATCTCTCCCTTGCCCTTTAAAAGTACCCTAAAAGTATTTGAATCTGGGTAACAACTTCTTCTCCTTCTCCTTCTCCTTCTCCTTCTCCTTCTCCTTCTCCTTCTCCTTTTAAAAATATTTGATTAATTGATTGATTTACCCCAAACCTCAACAGAAAGACATTTCCAAAAATTTAGAATGCCATCTCATCAGTATTCTATACTGAGCCCTAAAAAACTATAGCTAGAAGGACTTTCCTTGGATATGTATGAATATACCAAATTCCAGCTAGCATGAAAAATGGTTGCCATAGTACTTAGCTCCCTCCTTCTTTCCCAATCAAACAGACCTCTATTCAGTCTTGGTTAGCATCATGCTGCTCAAATCCTGGGAAATCTCAAAATAAAATTGGCCAAGAAAATAGATATTTATTGATACCTTTTTTAAAAAAAGGCAGTTAGGGTCTGAAGCAGTCCCAGCACACGTGTTGGCAAAAGTTGTGTCAAAATCTGGGTCTTATTTTCATTTGTTAGTGAATGTCTCCCATATTTCCAAGTGCTGTTAGCTTATGAAAGTGAAGTTATTGTGTTCTTGGTTAGCCAGTTCTTTATTTCTGTTTTTATGCTTAGCATTACAAGGGATAGATTAGGAGCATGGCTGGCTGGGGAGTTCTGGGAGTTGAAGTCCACTCATCTTAAAGTGGCCAAGTTTGGACAACACTGCCCTTAGCTCATTCAGAACCTGACCAGGCTATTTTACCTGAGCATCGAGTATTGTGCAGTATGCTCCATAGTCATGTCTGAGAAATTTCCACCAAAAAGCATCATATGCTTTCAATCTTGAACAGGAGCTGTATGCCTTTAGTTTAATTGTCACTAGTAATATGGTATTATATTGCAGCCTTGAATACTACCATTCACATGTTCTGTCTCAAATGATAGAAAGCAGTCAGTGCTTGTCATGTTTCTCTTTGTTTCTGGTTGGCCACTGTCAGCATAACTAAATTAAAGGGACTGTTGATTTAGCATGACAAAGGAACTCAGCATACATTCAGCATGTACATAAGACATTCTGAGCCAGGCCTAGTGCTAACTACGAATGAACCACTTACCCACTGGTATAGCACCAACAAAGTGGCAACTTGCAAGAAGCCACAGCGGGTTAATTACCCTTCCATTTGTGCTGGCTGGCTTTTGCATTGGCTAACTGGCCAATACCTCCTATTTAAAGCAACAACTATTCTTTAAAAACAAGCAAAAAACACAGTGGCCCAATTGAAGTCGGATCCATGTGGGCCAAGCGGAACCGGGGGGAAAAGTTCCCCAATTCTCCTTTGTATCTCCCACATACCCAGAATATAGAAAAAAGAGATGGCCATAGCAGGGACACTCTAACTGGATGGGCCTCATTTGCTAGTTGCTCCTTCTGGCTATCTCTGTGTTCATAAACCAGGAGGAGGAATTAATCTCATCTTAACTATACATATATGTTCTTGGTTCAAATTATATGCTAGGGCTGGTCCACTGTTTAGAAGCGTAAGCCATTTCCAGTTTTGGTTAACACAGTTGCTTTAGTAGGCCCAATCATAACATGGCTTGATATAAAGTACCAGTGTGGTCATTGGCTTAACAAATGTGGTAAATAAATACTGTAGGCCCAATCTGTAGGCCCACAGTAGGCCTACTATAGGCCCACAGTAGGCCCAATCATAACATGGCTTGATATAAAGTACCAGTGTGGTCATTGGCTTAACAAATGTGGTAAATAAATACTGTAGGCCCAATCTGTAGGCCCACAGTAGGCCTACTATAGGCCCACAGTAGGCCCAATCATAACATGGCTTGATATAAAGTACCAGTGTGGTCATTGGCTTAACAAATGTGGTAAATAAATACTGTAGGCCCAATCTGTAGGCCCACAGTAGGCCTACTATAGGCCCACAGTAGGCCCAATCATAACATGGCTTGATATAAAGTACCAGTGTGGTCATTGGCTTAACAAATGTGGTAAATAAATACTGTAAATACTGTAGGTTTATTGTGCACATACTACAAGCCAAGCCAGTTGGGGGATATTCAATAAACAATGGTTAAGCAAACCATGGTTTAGCAAGTCTGAACTCAGTAATATTGTTCAATTACTCTCACTTAGTTTCTCCAAATCAACACAACTATTGCTTGCTTAATGTCCAGTACAAACTGAGATTCGTGGTTGGTTCCTTTCCTAACAAGGCAAAACCATTCTACTGTATTCCATTCCTCAGGGGCCATGGTTATTCTACAGAAGTCCATTTAATAGATCACGTATTGTTGTCCTGGGCCCTCATTACTGCATCCTCCCATTTATGATATCCAAGCAGCATCTCATTTACAATATTCATTTCTTATCTATGCATTGCTTAGAAAATACAAACACAAAGATATTGTTTTAATCTTCTACCAGAATTGAATCCACACCCCTGGATGCAAACTACAGGTATAATCACCCTTGCAGACCTTAAATCAGGAAGAGTCTGGTAGCACCTTTTCAGACTAACATATTTTATTAAAAAACATCACCCTTCCTGAGCTATAGCTCATTTCATCAGATGCATACAGATTTTGTAACCTTGTAAATTTCCCAGATGCCACTACCAATCTGGCCGAGTGTTACTTTTGAGATGATTCAGTTGTCTGGCACAACCCTGCTGGAGCATCAGGGTGGGTAAGTTAGTATTGTTTGAGGAACTCTAAGTTTCCCCCTTGCCTGCTGATAATTACTATGCAAAGCAGCTGCTAGCAGAAAATAAAAGCTTGGAAGTAGGGTGAGATGGGAAACAATAACTGTAGGGTAGGATTCCTAGTGAAGAAGGAACATAGGAAATAGTTAACTCTTCTCCTTTATTGAAGTTTCAATCAGATCAGGCAAGAGAGACAGAGAGAGAGAGAGACCCATTCCGGAACAGGATATAAAGGCATGTTTAGTGTCACAGATGTATATATGTATGAACTTATAAAACTTATTGACTCCTTGACTTCCAACAACTTCAATGTTCATACGTGCTATAACTGAGGAACACATAATCTCAATACATTCAATAAGATGAACCTGTTTATTTAAAAGCAATTATATAGTTATTATTTATCATTGATTGTCCAGCATGTGTTCAAATTTCTGCTTAAAAATAGCAATCTTAACAGAAGTTACATTGCCATTCTGTAGGGACTGTGTATGGTATATACAAGGTAGCCTTTCTCTGTTAAATGTACATCCCACTATCCCCCAAGGCAGTGAACATGGTGCCCCTCTTCCAACTCTTTCCTTGCAACCATCCTGTGACTTCACTTGGGCTAAGAGCGACAGGCCCAAAATTATACCAGCAAGCTTCCATGACCAAAGATGGACTTGAACCTCAGACATTGCTCATTTGTTCCCCTTCCTGGCCAGATGAAATAGGTACTGTAACTTGTTGCCAATTCTATTCATGCCGACCACCACTAACTGAGATGAGAAATTT